ATTTGGTCTGGGCCCGAGGTGGGCTTAATAGCCGGCGACTACTGTACTATCATTGGCTAGAAGTGGCGCTGATTAAAGTCAGCGCTGGGTTTCCATCCCCTCAATCTCAATAAGGAGTGTGAATCTCGGATGATGTTACTCCCAGTGAATACACACTTGAGGCCCGGAGCACAAGAGGACTTCCCTAGGTTCCCGCCCATTCAGGTCTATCCACCAGGAGGTAGCAGTTTCTGTTAGTCGAAGCACAAGTAATACGTTAACAGGGTTTACTTTTGGCGGAAATTTAGCGAACCTAACTTTAATCCGTTTGAGCTTCTGAGATGAGAATTCTTATTTGAATACACGAACTAGTCAATCAGAAAATGAATTCCACTCGTACCATTCGTGGTTTAATTTACCTGGGAAACATAAGTTTCTGTTTTCCATGGACAAATACGCTACCAAGCACAAGTAGCAGGACAAAGTCAATATGACCGAATGGGATCGGACATAGGCCGCCTTCTCCAAAGCAAGCCATAACACCGCCAAACTTCGTATTAAGTAACAGTAGCCCTTTGTGCTGGTACTATCCTCGCTTGGTTTCAGCAGGTGTCAAGAGAGACCAAAGGAAACCAAGGCTGGTATTGCTACAACTGCTATTTCTAATACTAATAACTAGAGGTGTAGCTGATTGATAGTATTGTTGGTACTATTTCTGGCTGTATGATTAGTCAGATGTGACGCTGATTGAAGTCAGCGCTGGGCACATGTCGCCTATATCTCAACAGGAAGTGCACTAGTACTGGTACTAACACTGACGCTAGTCCGCTTTCTGCAATGTAGGCCAGAACCCCGCCTAATTTAGTCTTAAGCGGCAGTAGTCTTTTTTCGCTTGTACTACCGCACTATCTACCCTCACTTACCTTCAGTAGGTGTCAAGACAGACTCAAGGAAACCAAGACTGGTATTGCGACCACTGCTATTTCACTACTACTAACTAGGAGCGTAGCGGAGCGATAGTAGTACTGGTACTATTATTGGCGCTATTATTAGTCAGAAATGGCGCTGGGCCCCTATCCTCTCAATCTCAACAAGGAGTGTGAATCTCGCATTATGCTATTCCCAGTAAATACACGCTTGAGGCCAGGAGCACAACAGGGCTTCCCTTGGTTTCCGCCCACTCACCCCTATCCACTAGGCGGTGGCAGTTCCAAGCACCAGTAATACGTTAACGGGTGTTATTTTTCGACAGCAATTTAGCAAACCAAACTCAAGTCCGACTGAGCTTCTAAGGCAAGAAATCCTATCTGAATACACGGATCAGTCAATCAGAAAATGAATTTTATGTATTTACAAGTGGAAGTACAGCTGCATAAACCAGAACCAATTTCAGGTATTGTTCACTAGAAGGCGGTGGTAATCGTACAGCAGGGGTGATGTGGTAATTTTTTCCCAGGCCTGTCGTGCGTAATCCAACCACATGTACTCTGTAAAGTTTGGCATCATGTGCTGCCGGTGGGTTGAAAAAACAGCCTCCTGGAGGAACAGGGCGCACTGTGTGTACTCCGGACAGCCAAACGGCACTTGACCTGAAAGCAAATAAAAGATTGTAAATTTTAGTCGTTAATTCAATGCTTAGTTTGTGGCGGACGGCCACAAACTGCCTGTTCCCCCTTCTTTCTCCAAGGCCCGTGTTATAGGGACGCCAGCGGCCATGCACTCAGAGCGCACGGCCTCAAGTCATGCGCACAGGCAAACGGCGAACGCTAACGACCGCTCACACAGTGCGAGGAATTATCGATCAGCATGCACACGCGACGATTGTTCACGCAGACTGGGGAATTATCTATTTGAGGGCATACGTAACGACTACTCACACAGTGTGGCAAAATATCGATCAGTGACATGCCAGAACAGCGGTCGCATGCTATTGGGCCAGGAGTATTCTAGAAGGCCAGAGCCTCATAAATAGGTTGTATTGGAGAAGCAAAGGAACCGCCTGTCTCTGTATTGTCTAGAATAAAGGCTTCTTATCAGAACCGCTCCCTTGGCTTCCTCTGCCTATTAGTCGGGTCGGAACTAACTGGTACATAACAGTCAGCATTCGGCGGCGGTTGGTGCATGACCACTATTTTCTTCGTGCTGATGGGGAGACCGAAGTTTGCGCATCCTCTGGCGAAGAGGTCTATTCTCCTTTGAATGTCCGCTGCGGCTGTGGTGTTTAGAGCGCAGTCGTCCGCAAACAGCAGGTCATTAACTGTGGGCCTGCATGCTTCGAATGTTGAGAAGGTGTCCGCCCGTTCTGTAATCGATTGGGATCCCCGGACGCTGGTCACGGTAGGCGTCCGTAAGCATGGCAGAGGACATGAGACTGAAGAGATTAGGTGCGAGGACACAGTCCTGCTTCACTCCATTGGTCAGTGCAAAGGCTTCAGAGACCACTTCGTCGTCCGTGACGCGTGCCATCATCCCGTCGTGGTGCTGGTGCACCATATGAGTGAAGTGCTCGGGAGAGCTGAACTTTTGCATGACTTTCCAAAGTCCAGCGCGATTCACCTTGTCGAACGCTTTCGTTAGATCCACGGAGGTGGTGTATAGGTGGGTGCGCATCTCCTGGCACTTCTGCTGCAATTGGCGAGCAGCGAAGATCATGTCCGTGGGGCCGCGGTGGGGACGAAAACCACATTGGCTTTCCGGCCGGAGTCTTTGGTCTAGGTGGTTTTTGAGACGGTGATAGCGAATAAGGTTAATAAAATAGTTTATGGACGATAATGAAAGGCAACAATGCAACAACAAATGGAGTAGCAGGCAGAATAACAGAATAACAGGCAGAATAACCTTCAGGGCGACCCAGCCAATGAACACTCTATCTCTCTGTCTACTGGCCTGACTGCTGTCAAACCAGCGCTTGGACTCGAATGGCTCTCCTGGCCGGTTGTATGCTCTCCGAGTCAAATCTCTTCCCGCCCATTCTTCGTTCCTCTGTGCACACAATATACTGTTTCTACTAACCTGGCCTCCAATGACTTCTACTCTACTAAGTTACCGTGGTCTGAAGATCGCAGTTGCTCGGGTTTGACTTACTTAACCCCCTGCGATATCTGAAATTCCGTCTTGACTGCAGCTCTGTACGGTCTGCACCTTGTTCTGTGTCCGCCAGCAGCGTGTGTTCTGTCGTCGTTCTCGTCTCGGCCAACAGCAGGTCTCTCGTCTAGGGCAACAGAATCCCTTGTTTTCAGCAGCAGAATCTCGTGTCGCCAAGAG